AGACCTGCTAGCGTGTTGCAGCAAAGAAAGAAGAACCATAAAAGTACTTAGGTACAACTTCCGAATGTCACTCTACGTTCAAACGTTGTCTTGAGTTACTGAGGACCAAGTATCTGAGTACAGGGTCAAAGTTGTTCAAAACGTATGGAAGTTACCATCACAGAGATCACAGGCCACTTGAGTAGGGGGTTCATACCCCATCTGGGGTTCGAACGCCCTTAAAGCAAAGATAGAGACAACATTCGAACGACATATAACGTTCGAACGCCCCTAAAGCAAAAACAGACACAACGTTCAAACGAAATATCACATTCGAACATCCCCTACTGACTGGCTGCAAAGTTTGTTGGTTTTTCACTTGGACTTGGGCGGCAAACACTGTTCCTTCACCCCCCTGCCCTTCCTTGCCTATAAATACTCCCATTAAGGGAGCTTCATGGGCACCTTTTCTCTTGTAGAGTAAAGAGCTAGTTTGTATATTTCTTGGTTATGTTTTCATTTTGCATTTGTATCAACCATGATGGAGGCCAAGACTCCCCTTGTACTTGAAGTCTTTTATTTACTTGTGCTAAGTTTTTACATTCATGTTATAATAACCCTGATGGAGGCTTAGACTCCCCTTGTAGTTGTACTTGCTTTTATCTACAAGTATCAAGAGAGATAGCTCATCTTTTGGTTGTGGTGAAAACCCTCCAAAAGTAACTTGCTTTCTTCTACTTTCTTTATTTCTTTCACTTCCATTGCTTGAGCTTCCTTCTTCCTTAGAGGAGTGAAACTCTTCCACTTTTTTAGAGTTTTACCAAAGCCGTGAAGGGGAGAACGTGATTCACTTATTCTTTGGTGAAGATCGGCTCTTCGTTTATTGCACTTTACCTTGTAAGTTCTCTACTTTGCGGGATGAGTATCACTCACCTTTCTAGCTTTACTCAAGTCATGAAGAGTGAGTAGTTCCTCATTCACTCTTTAGTAAGAGGTGATGAACATGTATTGATTATCCGGAAGTTATATTTGTGTAATCCCTTTATGCTTTAATGTTTTATATTTCACTTGTTCATTGAATGATTGAATGTATCTAGCAAAGCTAAGGTACTTTGTATAACCATGGGTTCTTTCAATGTCATAGATGACTCTTGCATGAAAAAACCTATTGGTTCAAGGCAAGCATCTAGGCTATATCTGCATTATACATTTCAATCTTCACTATTATCATGCTTTATCTAAAAAATGAAACATTAATTCCATGGTTGGGTGCTTTATAGAAACACTTGCTTGTTTGTAGACGAGTTAAATCTCGACACTGGTAATTCTTGTCCGCTTCTAAAAAGGCATCGGAATCATCTGCTTAATTCTCATAGTCTATCTTTATCTCCTGATTAACTTGCTATTGACACGAGAGTTAATTGAGTTATAAAACACAAGTATAATAAACTGGATGATTAACCACATGCTCTGATCCTCAAGCTAAAGGGTGATTTTTTTACATTTGAATTTATCTTATATTTTGTCTAGAAAACTCTTGAAAAGAATCTTCTATTCTATTCAAGAAATCCCACCACTCCAAACTCTCAAAATTTTCAGTTACTTGGTCTCTATTATTGCTTACTTCAAAACACCAATCATAGTTTCCTGTGGATTTGACTGCGGACTTAACCAGATTATTATTATAACTTGATCGCCTGCACTTGGGTGTACACATTTTGGATCAAGTTAGCTTTCTCAACTAAAAGATGGAGGGTTGCTTCCTCAACCAAAAGATGAACTATCTTTCTTGATACAAGCAAATACAAATCTAAGACTAGCTATATGAGTGGGAGTCTAAGCCTTCATCCAAGCTCTCCCTTTTGAAGCTCCAACAAGGGTAGTAGTATTTATAGGCAAGGAGGAGGGAGCAAAGTAGTGTGGAGGAATAGTACAATGCATTCAAAGTCCAAGTGAAAGTCCCAATGTCCGGAGAAAAGATCTACCACTCTGTAACCTGTCTGTGGAAAACGTTCGAACGTGATCTGACATTCAAACGTTGTTTCTATTTTTGCATTATGGTCATCCAAATGTTGTCTGGCATTTGAACGTTTCTTCTGTCTTTGCTTTATAGGCTTTCAAACGCCATATGGGGTCTGACCTTCTCACTCAAGTAGCCTGTGGTCTTCTGTGGAAACCTATTTCCATACTCCATGCACATCTTGGCGCTTTGCACTCATGATTCTGGTCCTCAATCATTTCAAGTGGATGTTTGAACGTGAGTTGGCATTCGAACGTGGTACTCAAGTACCTCAGGGATTTCTTTCTAGGTTGCAATACACCATGTCTCAGCAGTCTGGTCTTCACATGATTTAAAGTAACGTTCGAACGTTGAGTGGTGTTCGAACATCCTTGGCTTGGTCTAAGCTGTTCCAATTTTGCTACAGAATATGCTGGTATTTTATGGGAGTCTGATATTCATTGTCTTTGGTCCCTTGTACAATTTATGACTTGAAAAGTCATCATTTAAACTCTATCAAAGTATAATTAGTCTTAAAGGGGCATAGAAATATGTAATTTTGACTACTAATTACTCATGACACAAAGATGCTTAGCCATGTTATGCGTAGGGTCCTGGATATACTGTTGGAAGCTAAGGTTCAAGGCACGAAGCCTAGTAGCTAAAGTCTAAATAAAAGTAATCTTCAACTGGTTCCACATGTCTTGGGCTGTCAGGCAATTCTAAAATTCCCCAATAAGGTCGTTGTACGTGCTGCTTAACATTGTGAAGCACGCATATTGATTCTTTTCTAATCCAATTCTCATAGGTTTCCTTATCACGGTGATGTTGGGTCCTGTTGCCTTCTTCAGGTGGGGTCATGGATATGGTTAAGGTTTCTATGACTGCTTGTTCATTAAGCAGATATTGAATTTTTATGTGCCACATGTCACAGTTTTTCCAATCTAGATTTTCTTCTTTTGATAAGTCAACAACTATGTTCTTTGACACTATTTTCACTATATTCAATAGGTAAGGCTATGGATATTAGACACATATCTCTCAATTGATTAGATTACCATATTATTTCATTCGTAATAGAATCGAGAATTTTGCTAAGTTAATAATTATTGCCCAAATATGAAAGTTGAAATATCTAAATCTAATCAATTATTCGAATAAAAGAATTTAATCCATTCAACATCCACAAAAATAATTTTTTTACGGGCTCCTTTAAGCCCTATTGGTATTTTATGCACCTCATGTAAAAACACATTCCAAAGAAATATTGGCAATAGCGAAGAACACCCCCTTACAAGGCTTCCTCCAAAAAATAATTACTGCACCAAACAAACCTAATACGAATCATCTATATATCAAAATAAATAAAGGAGGATGTCACCTTGACAATAGTCCTTAGAAAAAGTCTTATAATGCAATAAATAAGAGAATTAAATAATGAAACATGAGTGTACAAATTATCAATTTAAACCCCCATCAACCTCTTAATCCATGTATCAAAAATAGAGGAATTGGTTGATGGTTTAACCACACTAATCATCTAATGAAGTGGGTATTCAGTCTAAAAATAAGTCTAAGGTGAAATTAAATTTTTATTACCCATTTGATAGACAAAATTTCATATTAACATGCATCAAATTGATGAAACAAATAATTTAAAGGCCACTTTTAAATTTGAATAAATTTATCAACCCCTAAATTTTTAATTTTAGAATATTTGTAATTTTAAAACTGCTTTAAAATTAATTTTCTAAAATAACACAAAGAAGCTTATAGCGCAGTGGTCATGTAATGGTATTCCAAGTATAGAATCTAGGATCGAAACCTACTGTGTGATTTTTAATGTTTCATAAAAGTACTGAGATTCTATATGATATAGGATATTTTAGGGATTATGTGAACAAGGTTAAGGCTATAGTTAACCTTGGGGTTAAGGGTTCGAAATTAGCATAGGTCCTTTTTTTTTTAAACAAATAAATAACACTTTTCATCATCTTCCTCAAAAAAATAGTTTTTTTTTTCTCTTCAAAAAAAAAAAACAAGAAGAAGATTTCGGTGCCAACTTCGAATCACTATATCTTTCACTACAAAAGTCCGTTTGATGCAAATAATATATCGTTGAAATGTTCTTTTAGCATACTTTATAACCATATAATTTTTAATCCATAAAAAGCAGATTTAATGGGACAAAAATTGGCTAAAAAATATGGGTCCAACATATTTCTCAAAATGAAATTCTCTTTTTCTACCAAATGGCTCCTCCTTAAGCCACCAAATTTTGCAGTCATGCTATCTAGGATATAAACATCAAATTCAAACCAAAAATTCAGCCTAAAACACATGAAAAACATGTACATATTTCTTGCAAAAAAAAACTAAAAAAATCCATTATAAAGAATGCTATAACACTCATAGTCATCAAGCATGTTATCTATAGGGAAAAACAAATCATATAGCTCTGATACCAATGTTGAAAATAGAGATTACACACAGGTTACCTCTTGACGCACGGAAACGAAACAAATCGACTTGTTTTACGAGCCTTGCTTATATTCTTACGGCTTGGTGTCTACAAGCTTAATAATCTTCTGAAAAGAGGACTACCAGAGTCCTCTAAGCATCCACACTCACAAAACCAAGGAATTCTTAGAGATGGTGATTCCTAGAGAGAGAGAAACTTTGAAGGAGAGAAAAAGTGACAAATTTTCTTACATATTTTTATGTATAACTCTCATTCTATATATAGAAGAGAGTTTGATGAGGATTCAAATCCTATCATAACCCTAACTAATGGTTATCTCAACTTATGGATAGATTAGGATAAAGGAGAACCTTGAAGACATTGATTTGACTTGGTGACTTGATCAGGTCAAGATTACAAAGGGATTTTCTACAGCATCATACCAAAAATTATAATCCAATCAAGTTAAATTACAATTAAATAGGCTTGAGTTAGGATCAATTCCAAACCACGAGAGTGATCCCAACTTGGGAGAATCTATCCTAACGTTTTCAATTGTGACCTCATTAAGCTCTAACATATCCTCATTGGATCATAATTTCTCACAAATTTTTCCGAGTACATGCCATTGATTTTTCCTACTAAAACTTAAACGAATTCTAATATAATAATTTTGGCTTTTAATCGGAACTTTGCAGTAGGTATATATTCTTATGATCTGCACAGATCTACAATTAATATCATTTGTCCTCTTTTTCATGGGTAGGTGTTGAAACTGGCCAGATGTTCTCATGGGTACTAACAATCTGCGCCATGAACACAAATGCATGATAAAGCACCATTATCATAAGATGTCAACTCGGAGGAACCATGGGAGTATAAAGGCTAGCACCAAGCAAGCGAGTAGGAAGTTACAAAAGGAGTGTTTGCATCGACGTGAACCTTCAGGAAGAGAAGAGTATGGAGCGGCAGCTACCAGCGTCCTCTCATTCCACTCGACCATGAATATCCTACTGTCCTCTCTGACGGAAATGTTTGTCACAGGCTTGCCACAAATCTCACATAATCTGCCAGATGAGATAAAATACCATTGAAAGTTGGAAAGAAATTCCTCAAATTTGTTGAATTTAATGAACAAAAACAGGTGCTCACCAACTAAATGCACATGCTTGTGCGTTCAGTTTAATGAAAGAAAGTTCAAATTCATTTTGATAAGGATATTTTCAAGTACGATAAGAGCTGCAGCAGCAGCATCACTAGCAAACATCACAACACTAATAGTGTAAAGAACTAGCTCTTCAAGGATGCAGATGCTTCAGATGACCTTGCTACCAAAATGTCAAGGTATTAAAAATTGTAGTTATTAACCTGCTGTAACAAAACCAAAGCTCATCACACCTAGTACACAAAACTCCTGCCTATGTAATGGGGTCTGGGATGTTTAAATGGTAGACAAGACAACCTTAGCTTTATTTTAGCGAGTCAATTCCTAGATTCAAACATGCGACATATAATTTGAATAGATAAGCACTTGCCATTACTCCAAATCCGAACTTTGCCAAGGCAATATCATAGTTCATTTGCCGTTTCATGATTCAAAACAAATGATCTTGATTTTTATATTAACATGATGCTTATAGGGATTCTCCTTATTACTTTCCAACTGTGAATGAACTTTGTTATTTTGTTACTAATGTACAACATCTGCTACTCTTCGAGTCTTAGTTGCTTTGTGTTTGTAGATCTGTATATACCTTGACGCAGGGTGGTGAATGGAGGGGTTTATTCCATATGAGATCAATACCATTCATATGAACTAAACAGATACCCCTAAGCGTTGAACTATTATAGTCCAAACATGAAAGTTGCACACAACACAATCAATCCAAGCATTTTTATGCAAAAACTGCAATTTTGCTTCCAGTATCAACTTTTCGGTATTCATGTTTGCAAATATATAACACGTTCTTCAATCCTTACCTTTTTTTAAAAAAAGAGAGTAAAAACTCTTGGAGAGTTTCTTCAATATTAGACTCTCTTATACTCATACTCATATCAAATGATAAGAAACTCTTTTTTTAACTCAAATCAAAGAGGACTTTTTTTAAAATCAAATATTGAATAGTAAAATTACACTCTCATTAATAATGGTCAGAGTTTACCCTATTTTAAATTTGTGTTTGTTATAATTTAAATTTGAATTTCGTTTCCTTTGAAAAACGATTTTTCAACGGAGAGGTCGGAGAGGTCTAAAAAAGATTCAACACAACAACCCATCAATCACAGATAGTAGGCTATGCATCTGACCAGTGGGCATGTGTTCTCAAACTAACTTTTGTCCTCCTTGCACATGAGACTGAAAAAACGTGGAGACGTATGAGAAACAGAATTTAGTCTTCTTTTATCCATATATGTCCTGCTCATTGAGAAGCTATTTCCAATGTCATAATAGGGAACGGTATTTAACTAACAACTTAAACCATAAAAGGAATTCTCAAGTTGTCTGAAGGACTCTGTGCTGCATATCAAAGATGATTGCAAGTTCTACTCAATCCACCACTAGAAAGAAAAAATTGGAAAACCCACTTTGTGATGATCCAAGCATGGATCAATAAATTCAATCTATATGTCTAAAACCATGAAAATCAAGATAAAAAATAAAGACGGATCTGGAAAAGCATAAGAAGATAAATATTACCGATTGCCTTTCTGCTCAAACCAGGCCTCGGCACAACTTCGATGTGAAATTCCTAGCTCGCCTTTGCAGCCACAGCCTAGCTGCATGAGTTCCCCATTCTCCAATGGTTGTTCAGCACTCAAATGACATATCCTACAAACTTTTTCGGCTCTCAAATTTTCGCCACTGTACTTAATGTCAATGACACCTTCATTTTCTGCAGGTTCGGGCTCCTTTGCTTTCTGTTCCTCCCTGGACACCTCAGGCATCTCCGTTAATTCAGATTTGAGCCCTGACTTGCAGTCTTCTCCGCATAGAATTCCAGGATCTTCAGATCTTATTCCACTTGCAGCCTCAGGTTGAAATCCACCAAATGGATTTGTTGATTTTGTGTCGCCTACTCGACCATCATGTATTTCAGGCTCCATTTGAAATTACTAACGGAACTATCATTTAGCAATTGATCGTCTTCTTGTCAGCCAGACTTCATTTATCTTGTGTAAGTAACTTGTAACTTTAGAATCTTCCTTGCTTCAATGCATCCAAGACTCCAAGAATAAAAAGTCCCTTTTCCTCATTTGAAATGGAGTAATGTTATTGAACTTAAAAATATTAACCTATTTTGCTGAGTTAATGATTTGATAGTCATGACGTTTTCCAATAATATTGTTGTGACTTTAATATTAGAGTTTTTTTACGAAGACTCCATCAATTAACACATCACTATAATAAATTAAATTAATTTTTTAAGTCCCAACAATACTATTCTGTGAAATGAGCATTCAATTCTTTATTATGGTCTACAAATGGAAAAACATTATCTCATACATATATGCTAAGAACTAATCAGAGCAAGCCTTGGGAAATCTGAGGGGTCAGATTTTTAGGAATTAGAAGAAAGTAAACACAGAAGAAAAAAGCTTAAGCTTTTCTCATCCCGAGTTAAAGAATAATCACGAGTCTGAATAACAAGTAACTGGATGATTTCACAGGATTTGTGTGAAAAAGGCAAGAAAAGTTGTGAGATATTGATAAATGAACAATGCTTAAATTCCTTGCTTTCCTTGGAAACTTTGTGCAAGACGTCAACAGATTTACTTAATGTATAAAGTTTACATTTGGCCTGGTATTTATAGAAAGGAAAATGCTATTTAGATTTAATTTAAGGACTTAACGTGAAAATCTAATATAATGCAATCACTGAATTGAAAACGGACTTGTCTAACATGATAACTTACAACTAATTCAAGGGTTCATTAAATTAACTCTGTGATTAGCTCTCTAAATTAGATCCTTATAGCATTCCTCTTATAAAAATAAATGGTGGACAAATACGAGTTTTTTTTAGCTGTTTGCATATTAGATGATCTAAGGTAAGGTTTGACTTAGTATAGAAGTAATGTAATGAGGACTTAATTTGGAAATAATTATTTGGTCCGAATGAACGGAACGTAAATGAGAACTGCACCAAATCCTGAGCTCCCAGATGGAAGCGTTTTTGTTCACTTCTATTACATGAGATAGAAAAAGCTTAAAGCTTAACCACCACTTGACGATTAAAAAAAAAAGAAGATTTCGTCGCAATACAAGGGCTAATTATATTTTATACCATCAACGTTTAAATCATTTCCATTTTATCTACTTCAACTTCGAGTTTGGTCAACTTTATCACCTAACTTTTAAGAATGCATCAATTCGGTCCAATCGATCACGTGTGCTTCACGTGATGCATACATGTTATTTTTGGGTAATGGCCATGTGGCATAATCTATCAAGCTTTTTTTTTTTTTGTTGAGTCAATGGTTTGACTCATATAGGCAATGTTGAAATTATTTGAGAAAATTGATAAAAATAGAAGTAGACTAAAGTTGAACCGCTGAAAAATTTAACGGTACAAGATCTATTAATTAACCCAAATTAGAAACATGAAAAAGAGCGAGGAACATAAAAAAATAAACATAGATTCAAAAAACAATAGGATTTGGTGTCCAGCCAACACGGCTATTTAAATACTTTTAGAAAGTGTGTTTGGTTCGGTACAATATGAAATGGAATTAGATCATTGATTCCAGTTCAATCACATCGGTAATAATACCTATATCATGTATGAATTATAGTTTGGATAAGTTGTGGATTCATTTTCCACTGGCAATTACATTTTTGAATAAAAGATTAATGTACATTGTTGAATATATAACGAGAAAATCATCCTACGCCAACTCTTTAGTCTAATAATGTACTTTTGTTGCATTAGATATTTGATGATGCAAACATTTGGCGTGACCCCATGTCATTTTGTCCGGCTTCAATCACCTGAAAAAACAAAGTCAAATACCGGATGGAAGTTCTGAGATCGATCATTTGATGCCTAAGTCAAAAAAGGTATTTGAGAAAAAAAATATTTCAACTGGGGTTGGATCCACCAACCTTATTGATCTTCATGGACTCTTCTTTTATATGCCATTAGTGGATTCTCCTTTGCTAATTGAATTTTGGCGGCTCCAATAGTATGTTGGAGTTGGGCTCAAAGCCTTTAGTTGAGTTGAACTAGTTAAAGTCATATGCAAGTAGGACTTCTACCGAGATGGAAGGCGAGCTAGACATCTAAGGAGCGGGTGAGCTTGGCAAGCTGCCCAGTGGTCGAGCTCGTGCCAAAATTCCCATTATTAGGTTATCTTATGCAACATCTTGTAGATGAGTTCCTTGAAGATTGTATTCACCCCTTGAAAGGACAAGCAATTTGGAGGCGGGACGGGTACTCCTCTCCTTGTAGGTGGCTCCTTCTTTGTCTTCCTCGACACCGGGGCCGTACTCTCGGGCCTGATGGATTCTTCCTCCACCCTGACATATTTGTTGATTCGGGCCATCAAGTCCTTCATATCTTCTGCGGCTCTCTTAGTAAGAGATCTATACAAATCAGTGTCTCGGGATAGTCCTAGTCAAAATGTTGCCACAGTCATTGCTTATGAACAGGCCTCGACCTTGTTGACTTCTTCCTAGTACCTGATTGTATACTGCCCAAGGGACTCTCCACCCCTTCATTTAAGCGTTAGCAACACACTGATGTCTTTTGGCCTTTTGCTACCGGTAACGAATCGAGCAGTGAAGAGCTTGGTCATTTGCTTCCAAGATCTGATGCTCTCTAGGGCCAAGTTCTCATACCACTTCATCGTAGTGTCCCCCAAACTCATGGAAAAAACTCGGCACAAAAGCCTTTGGTCAGTGTCATGAATGGTCATCACTTGCTTGTATTGTTGCAGATGGCCCTCGGGGTCTGTCCTCCAATCAAAAACTTTAAACCGAGGGATAATGAACTTCTTCGGCATTCTGGTCTCTCGGATTGCCCATAAAAACGGGGAGATGATCTGCTTGTCATCAACAGCATCCCCCTCGGGCTGAGGTTTTTGGCGCTTGGCATCTAAGCGAGCTTAAAGGTCCCCTAGGGGCCTCACTCTTCTAGCCCCCCCCCCCCCCCCCCCCCCCCCCCGCAATGAACTTTGTATGGGACTCCGTTGTTGTGGCGCCGCCTGATAGTCCATGGCGGAGATCCCCCCAGGATAGGCCCTTCCAAGGGCTACCCCACTCTGATCCTTCCTCGAGAGTAGACTTTCCCCAGCTTCCTAAGTTGCACCTCTCGGCCATGCGTATGCGCAAGCTCCTCCCGGGGGCATCTAGCTTCATGCCTCTGGAATCACCTCGATTGAAACTTCAATCTTCATGCTTACTGTTTCGCCAACTAGCACTCTTCGATTGCTCGAAATCATCGAGCTGATGTTGTACCTTGGCGTTTTCATTTTCAAGTTGCTTGATGCACTTTTCCATCCGTTTTTCCACTAACTCAACAATTTCACAAGCCAAAAGGCCTTGCCCCCCAAGGCCTTGATCCACGGGGAACGTTCTCTATGAGGCATGCTCGCCTCCATCTAACCGACTCATGGGGTCTAACTCCTAAACTGCTGCGAGTCGGGTAGCCTCTGCATTTCTGACACATAAGCTCCCTCCCCCCTTAGTGTGGGATCATGTGTTCACCATAACACAGTTGCTATAGGGAAAAGTTCGTATAGATCCCACAGACGACGCCAAATTGCATAGGAGAATTCTTACAATACAATGAGGTAGCAATCTTCAGGATGACAAAACTGAACCAACCACAAGGTCAGAAAAGAGGCCGGGCGAACACCCGGCTTATTCTCTCCAAAGCTTAAGCTAGTAAAAGTTTGTAGGCTTGAGCATAGTGTATTCCTGTTCTATTTTAGTCTTGCGTACTTTTGCTTATGTTTCTGATGAGTATTTATACCTGAATTAGTAATGAATGCAAGAAAAGGGAGTCTCATCTCGCAATTTAATAACTTGCACTCTTATCCATGCGTAATTAGTGTTCTCCACTGAGATCTTTGTGCCTAGTGTACTCAGATGATAGGATGACTACTCGGGGCATGCTGAGCACTTATGACCCTATACCCGGCCATTCAAGTCCATTTGGTCGGCACTCGGTGCCTACTCCCAAGTGTTTAATGCTCAGGAAACAGAACCTCGGGATGTGCCGAAGAGATATACTCGGCACAATAGTCATTAATACCTTTCAATAATGATTGTCAGTTAGGGTATCGAGGAGGCAGGAGCTCATTAATAGTCCTGTCCTACTCATTTACATCTTCATTAATGAGCGGTCAAGTCTTCTTAAATGTTGGTGTCAGTAGGTGTATTCGGCCCTCCTAAGTAATAATTGTTCGGTGCCATCCCCCAGCGTCTTTTGAGTTTTATAACAGCTGTATTAATCCACATGTCAAATTGGGGGCCGCTGAGCCACCTAAAATGCCGTTAGAAGTTTTTTTTTTCATCGAGTGAGGTGTCACTTGAAAAGAGAGGACGAAATTGGAATGGACTATACCTAGTTGTCCCTTCCCTTAGGTGCGCGCATTTGGACTGTGCTACAACTAGGTAGGGAAGTACCATATGTAATAAACAACTAGGACAAAAGTACAAAGGTTGCAAAAACATGGAGTTCATGGCTTACAGTTCTCATAGAAATTCAATTGCATCATGACCGTCCCTAACTGGGAATTCAAAGTTGGTTTCTCTTAAGCAATATCTCTCTCGTGTCATAGAAGTAACCTACAAACACTTCCATCTAGGTATTCAAATTTGTTGCAGATCTCACTACCTTGTGTTAACATCTTTTTTCTGTTTTTTTTTTTGGCCCCCTTTGCCTTACTTCAATCACAGCATTTTGATATTTTTGCCAATTATTTACTTTAATAGCAACTAAGAGTCCAACTTATACCACCTTATCTGAAAGAACACTAAAACTAAGTATATTGCTCAACATTTTCTTTTATAATTGAGAACCATTTCCACCACATATTCTTTTGACTTGTGACTCAATTGTGAGTTTAAACTCACAATTAGTCGAATGCAACGTACATCGGGTTAAAAAAGAGTCTCT